TATGTGGCCTTTTTGTTTAGCAAGTGGTGATTGAATCCCTACTATATGCACAGCCCTGTGCTAGGCACTAGGAGCATGGAGATGAAACTGTTTCCATGTCCAAGCTCATTTATTATTCCATACCAGGATTTTATTGTATTGTAATATAATCTCTACACCCAATGTGGGGCTTAATTGGATATCAATTGGGTGACTCTTCTGTCAAAGACCTGGGGCACAGGGCCAGGCTCCAGTCAGAGGTGGGGGACTAGAAACTCTCACAGGGAAATGGTACAACGCAGATGGAGTGAGAAGAGTTGAGACCTGCTAGCAGTGCAGCTTCTCAGAAATCTTGCCTGGGCCTCTAGATCACTACTCTGGATGGTTGGCTAAATGCTAAACCCTCCAGGACAAGATTTGGGGCTTGGCCTACAGATGGGTGGAAAGAGTCTTATCTATGGTGTTGACTCCGAGGAGCTCAGGAAGCTGAGTCAAGAGTGTATGGGGGTCGGGTAGATCAAATACTGCTGAAGTGTTCCATAGGTACACACAAGGCTTCTGTGTAGGTAAGGCAAACTGATGATTTCTCTCAGTAGTGCCTAAGTTATGTGTTCACTCAGTCATCCATCTCTTCACTCATTCATTCATTCATCTCCTCACTCATTTATGAACTGGAGAAAATTATATTTGCCAGAATGCTTTTTTTTTTTAAAGATTTTATTTATTTATTTGACAGAGAGAGACATAGCAGGAGAGGGAACACAAGCAGGGGGAGCAGCAGAGGGAGAAGCAGGCCTCCCACTGAGAGGGAGCCCAATGCGGGGCTCGATCCCAGGCCCCTGGGATCATGACCTGAGCCAAAGGCAGACGCCCAACAACTGAGCCACCGAGGTGCCCCTATTTGCCAGAACTCTTAGGGAGAAGTACTATATGTGGTTAGAAGGAATAAAGCTGCTTGAGGTGAAGAGTAAGACACCCAAAGACTATGCTCAACAAAAGGAGATGGAGATTTATATGCTCCCCAAGGATGGTGGGTGTAGTAAGTACAGATTTTGTTTTGCTAAGTAAGGTTGTGCAAGTCTGGGCCAGAGCTGAATTGCTGAGGACATGGAGAAAATGAGCACTGCCAGAAACATAACTTATCTTTGATTTCTCATCTCTTCACCTCTAATCCATCACCATGCCCTACAGTTCACCTCTTAAACATCTCTTGGATCTGTTTCTACTCCATTCTCATTGCTACCACTCTAGTTCAATCCTTACTGGGACTCATTTGAACCACTGCAAAGATCTTCTAACTAGCCTTCCTGCTTCCCATCTCTTTTTCCAGTGCATTCTCCACATCACAGCCAGAGTGATCTTTCTAAATAAAGTTCAGATCTAATTATATTAATTCCCGCCTCAAAATCTTTTTTATTTTAAAAGATAAAGTCCAGAGGTGCCTGGGTGGCTCAGTTGGTTGAGTGTCTGACTCTTGATCTCAGCTCAGGTCTTGATCTTGGGGTCATGAGTTTGAGCTCCACATTGGGCTCTGTGCTGGGCATGGAGCCTAAAAAAAAAAGATAAAGTCCAAACCCCATAGCACAACATTTAAAACTCTTTCTAGTTTCAGCACGTACCCATTTCCCATTTCCTACCATTCCTTTTCTTTTGGAGTACTCAATGGCAAAAACTCTTCCTTCTGCCAAAATACTTTTCCTTCACTTCTCTGCTTGGAAAATTCTTCTTTAGAAAAGTCCTTGTTGGGGCACCTGGGTGGCTCAGTCGTTAAGTGTCTGCCTTCGGCTCAGGACATGATTCCGGGGTCCTGGGATCGAGCCCCGCATTGGGCTCCCTGCTCAGTGGGGAGTCTGCTTCTCCCTCTCCCACTCCCCCTGCTTGTGTTCCCCTCTCTCGCTGTTTCTCTGTCAAATAAATAAAAATAATAATTAAAAAAAAAAAAAGAAAAGTCCTTGTTGTCCTCCTACTATTGTCAAATAAGCACATCTTCAGGCCAATGCTTCTGGACTTGGTACAGATTCCATTAGTGGGAGCTATGCTGTCTACCACATTTATGATTCTCCTCCTGGGCATATTATAAGATTGCGTTTTCTTGGATGTGGGTGTGTGACTTGCTTTGGCTAGTGAAATGGGAGAAGTGGAAGTTTTAAGAGCCAACACATGACTCACACACTTTTTTCCTCTGGTAGCTGCTCTGGCAGTCTTTATCTTAGAATAAGGAAGACAAAAAGCAGAGCACCCAGCCAATGCTTAATGGATATGGAACAATAGTAAAAAATAAAACCTTGTTTAAGCTGTGGAGATTTGGGGATTGCTTTGTTATTGAATAACTCAGTATATCGTAACTGATACACTATCTCTGCTTTGACATCTTCTATAATTACCCAAAACCACCATGTTTCTACCTTACCTGCCTTGTGTAACACATTTTCTTCATACTGATTATCTGGAACTCATGACATATTGCCACATATTTCTTATTATCAGTCTATTGGTGTATGTCTTAGCTACCTCTGCACTTCTACTGAGGCTCCCTGAGGGCAGGGATAGTGTTTGTTCTATGTTAAATCACAGGAGGTATGGTTCATGGCTAAGGTATAAATTGTAATGAGTGTAGGGGTCAGATAGACTTTATTTTGAATCGCAATTCTGACACTTAGTGGCAATCTCTCGGAGCGTCAGTTTCCTCATCTGGAGTAAAGTGGAGTAGCCATATATATCCTACAGGGTTTTTCTGAAGTATGTGGATAACAGGTGCAACATATGTACAAATAATGGCATACTGTAGTTATTATTGTTCCCTTATTTGTTTTTATTATCATTATAGATTGTGTTCAGGAAGTATTTGTGCACACATCCTTCATTGACTGAGGGTTAGTGGTACGTGCATTGGACTTGGAATCAGAAGCCCTGGATTTAAGGCATAGCTTTTGTCTCTAGCTTTATGACCTTGGGAAAGTCACTTACCCTGGCTGCATTTTTGCATTCTCAACTATAAAATGTAAATGCTAATAATACCTACCTCACAGGGATTTTATAAAATTTAAGTAAGCTAATATATGAAGAGATGTTTTATACATGCTCAAGTATCATGCATTCTAAAATTGTAATGAAACAGAAGATTGGATGGTCCCTCACATAAGGACTGTGTGGACATACGTGAAACATCCCAATGTGCTCCAATAACACTTTACTGTTGGTCTTGTTTTTGCTTCCTTGCTTATATGTCTGTCTTTCCAACTAGACTGTGATCTGCTTGAGATAAAGAATTGTGTTGGGGGACGCCTGGGTGGCTCAGTTGGTTAAGCACCTGCCCTCGACATAGGTTATGATCCCAGGATCCTGGGATGGAGTCCCGCGTCGGGCTCCTTGCTCAGCAGGGAGCCTGCTTCTCCCTCTCCCTCTGCCTGCTGCTCCCCCTGCTTGTGCTCTCTCTCTGACAAATAAATAAATAAAATCTTTATTGAAAAAAAAAGGATTGTCGGGTGCCTGGGTGGCTCAGTTCGTTAAGCAACTGCCTTCGGCTCAGGTCATGATCCCGGAGTCCTGGGATCGAGTCCCACATCGGGCTCCCTGCTCAGCGGGGAGCCTGCTTCTCCCTCTGACCTTCTCCCCTCTCATGCTGTTTCTCTCTCTCTCTCTCTCTCTCTCAAATAAATAAAAATAAAATCTTTAAAAAAAAAAGGATTGTTAAAGGATTTTAAGCAAAATATTTGTTTCTCCATATGTAAGAGCAATATGTGCTTATTGTAGAGGAAATAAAGGTGCATGAAAAAGTTTAAAATCCCTGTAATTCTTGACTCTCATACAGAGATAATCACTATTAATCTTTTGATGTTTTCTTCTCTGCATATATAGTTACAAAACTGATATTATATCACATATACAAGCATTGTCTCCTGTCCCAACAAATATTTTTGTGCATAGGGCTGATTTTCTAATTTTGTAGCAAAAGTTTTAAGGAAGAAAATTTCTGTGTTAAGAGTGCAAATATTTTTTTCTGTATTTTTTTATTATGTTATGTTCATACATTCATACATACATACATAATCACCATACATTGCATCATGAGTTTTTGATGTAGTGTTCCATGATTCATTGTTTGCATATAACACCCAGTGCTCCACGCAGAACGTGCCCTCAATACCCATCACCAGGCTAACCCATCCTCCCACCCCCCTCCCCTCTAGAACCTTCAGTTTGCAAATATTTTTAATGGTCTTGAGACTTCCAAATTGATTTTCAGAAAGACTGAACCAAGTTTCCATGAGCAAGGAGTGAGGTTGCACATCTCACTACATCCTCATCTATAATGAGAATTATAATTAAGAATAGTTAAAATCTTTTTTTTTAAAGATTTATTTATTTATTTATTTATTTATTTATTTGACAGAGAGAGACACAGCAAGAGAGGGAACACAAGCACGGGGGGTGGGAGAGGGAGAAGCAGGCCCCCTGCTGAGCAGGGAGCCCAATGCAGGGCTTGCCCTTTTTTCTGTTGGAATTTCAATTATTTTCTTTCTTGCTTTTTTTTTCTTAAGTAAACTCTGCCCTCAACATGGGGCTCGAACTCATGACCCCGAGATCAAAAGTTGCCTGCCCTACTGACTGAGCTGGCCAGGCACTCCTTAATTATTTTCTTATTAATTTTTATGAGGTTTTATTTATTTTTTAAAGATATTTATTTATTTGAGAGACAGAGAGAGTATGGAGGGGGGAGGAACAGAAGGAGAGGGAGAAGCAGGCTCCCTGCTGAGCAGGGAGCCCACCACAGGGCTCAATCCCAGGACCCTGAGACCATGACCTGAGCTGAAGGCACACACTTAACTGACTGAGCCACCCAGGTGCCCAAATTTTTATGAGGTTTTAAAAACCATTTTATTCTACCCACCAAGTACAATACAAGACACATAACAGGTTCTCCTTAAATATACCTTGGGTTATTTGTTAATTATTCTGAGGACTTTTTAGGAACAAAAGTAGATTTTCTAGGAGGCTAACTCTTTCTTTTTCCTACCCAGGACACAGCTGGACAAGAGCGGTACCGGACCATCACAACAGCCTATTACCGTGGGGCCATGGGCTTCATTCTGATGTACGACATTACCAATGAGGATTCCTTCAATGCTGTCCAAGATTGGTATGAGATTCGTTCATTCACCTCACTCATTCATTATTCATCAAACTGTCTAGAAAAACCTAATGTGTGCTAGGCCTTGTGCTTTATGCCAGGGCAATCTGGATGAATCAGACATGGCTCCTGGCCTCCAGGAACTCACAGATGAGAGGAAAGCACAGATCAGTAAGCAAGCAGTGAGAATATCATATGACATGTGCAGTAATGAGGAGAGGCACCAGGGCTGTGGGAGCCCAACAGAGGGCTCTGACCCAGCTTGGGGAGTCAGGGAAGGGATCCTGGAGTTGCTGACACAGATGCTGCATTTTGTAAGATGAAGCAGGAGTTAGCCAGGGAGTGAGTAGATAAGAATGTTCCAGGAAAAGAATGCAGATGTGCAAAGGTGAGACAGTAACTGAAGGGTACAGGGAGAGCAGAGGTCATGAAGAATTTTATGTGCTGGGGTAAGGAGTTTGGAGTTTATCCCCTAGGCGATGACATTTGAACAGAGAACCAACAGGTTCAGATTCATGTTTTGGAAAGATCATTCTGGTTCCATCAGTGAGTGAATGCACATACAACTCCCCCATAAAGTTTATCCCTAGGCTGGGGGTTAGGAGCACATCCGGTCCGGGGGCCTGGGTGGCTCAGTTGGTTAAGCGACTGCCTTCGGCTCAGGTCATGATCCTGGAGTCCTGGGATCGAGTCCCACATCGGGCTCCCTGTTCAGCGGGGAGCCTGCTTCTCCCTCTGACCCTCTTCCCTCTCGTGCTCTCTGTCTCTCATTCTCTCTCTCAAATAAAATAAACAAAATCTTAAAAAAAAAAAAAGAGCACATCCGGTCCAAGTTTGTAAAGATTCAACACACGGTGGAAATCAGCACAGCTCCAGATGTACAACCTCTGAGTAACTTACATCTTTCTTCCTGGAGCATAACTCACCGGGAGAAGGGAGCTGAGGGGAAGGTTAGGTGAGAGGGAGGGCTGGAGCCCTTGCCCAGTGGAAAGGATGAGGGTGGGAGAAGGTGGAACATCTGTGCCATGGGTCTTGCTCAGAATCAGAGAGGCTGAGCAGGCCAGGCATACAGCAGCAGCACTGGCCAGCGCCAAGCTTATCTCCCGTTCCCCTTTGCATAATAGCCACCCTTTGAGGACTTCCCTTCTCCGACTGAACAGTTGCCATGATCTGTGAAGTCCTGTGAGTGCCTTGTAGCCTTGAGCTGAGAGTGGCTTTGCAGCCTGTCCGGGGTGCCGTGCACATGTCTGACCTTCATGGTGGTTGACGTTCTCCTTCCCAGCCTACCGGGCATCTTCCCCTTCCTCCTTTCTCTTTCTTCTCTTCTTAACAAGTACCCTCTATCTTCCTTTTCCTCCTTTCCTTCCTCTCTTTTCTCTTTACTCCCTTTTTTTCTCTTCCTTTCCCCCCCCCTTTTATTCCCTCTCTTCTCTACGGTCATGATTTGTCTCCCCTCCTCCTCTTCCCCCCCTTCTCCATCTTTCCCTCCACCTCCTACCCTGGAGTGATTAGCTGTTTTTTTAAGTGTCTTCACACTGCTCATTCCCTGTTGGCCTGACCTTCCTCCTTTTACCATCAGTCCCTGTTCATTCTGTCTCAGGAACACAGTGAGTTTAACACTTGGTGACAGTTCCTCCAAGAATAACCTGAGTTGCTAATCTGGGAGCTGAGAGTGGATGAGGGTGGGAGGAGGGAGGAAGATGATAGGAAGAGGAGTATGGGGAGACATGGAGACTTGGCTCCGGTTACCTGCCTTGAGGCTAAAGATTGAATGTCTATTTCTCCCAAGCCCTGGCCTTTCAGTTTTGCCTCTGAGCAACTTGGTCCTGGACTAGCCATCTAAGCCCCAGGGCTCAGCACAGAACCTGGCTGTTTGTCAGCCCACAACAAATGTGGCTGAGTGAGTTCTGTACCTTGAAGGAATGGCTTCTCACCCTTAGAGAGAAGATTAGTGGGGGATCAGCTTTACGAGCAGAGTCGGTTATAGGTCCAGGTTGCAGTTAGGGTTGAGTTAGATTGAGTGTCGGTGTCAGGATAGGGTAACATTTAAGATCTGCTTCAGGATTAACCATTAGCTGGCTTACTCATTCATCAGACAGTTGCTGACACCTGTGCTCTGTGCTGGGGACTGGCACTCCAAAGATGAATGAGACTAGCCCTGCCTTCAAGGAGAGACTTATAAATTCAGCCAAATGTAGCAGGTGCCATGGTAAAGGTGTAGGGGACCAAAAGAAGAAGTAATCATTTCTATTTGATGGGGTGGTTAGAGACAGAGTTAGGCTCAATGCCACAAAGAGATGTATCCACAATATAAGGGTCCTATTTTATTCATTATATTAAAATTTTGTTTCTCATTATATAAGTAGTATATGCTCACTTTCAAAAATTTGAAAAATACAGAAAAGCATTTTTTTTTAAGATTTTATTTATTTGACAGAGAGAGACACAGCGAGAGAGGGAACACAAGCAGGGGGAGTGGGAGAGGGAGAAGCAAGCTTCCCGCTGAGCAGGGAGCCCCATGTGGGGCTCGATCCCAGGACCCCGGGATCATGACCTGAGCCAAAGGCAGACACTCAACTGACTGAGCGACCCAGGTGCCCCAAGAAAAGCATTTTTTTAAAGGATTTTATTTATTTATTTGAGAAAGAGAGAGAGAGAGCAAGTGAGCAGGGAGGGGGGAGGAGCAGAGGGAGAGGGACAAGCAGACTCTGCACTGAGCTGGAGTCTGATACTAGGCTCGATCCCATGACCCGAGATCATGACCTGAGCCAAAATCAAGAGTCAGTTGCCTAACCAATTGAGCCACCCGGACACCCCTACAGAAAAGTATTTTTAAAAAGTTTCATAACCATCCTATGTGAAGGAAACCACTGCTGACATTTTGGTTTCTACAAATAATCACCATCTGAGGCCTCAGCGAATGTTTATAAGTCACAGAGGAGGAGGAGGGAGAGGCTAGTTGGGCCTGAGAAAGCCTGGGAAGGCTTCTCCCAAGGAATTATGAGATCAGCCCTGGGCCCTGGGGGATGAGTTAGTGTGGGGAAGGGACTCCCAGTCATGCCATGGAAGAGCATTTCGGGATGGGAGAGAAGTGGGATAAAGCTGCATGGTCTTGAACACCTGAGGGATCTAGACTTCATCACACGCTAGTCAGGGGGCCAGAGGAGAGTCCTTTTAAGAAAGGACTTACCGTGGTCAGATAGATGTTTTAGGGATGCCTGGGTGGCTCAGTCAGTTAAGTGTCTGCCTTTGGCTCAGGTCATGATCCTAAGGTTCTGGGATTGAGACCCACTTTGGGCTCCTTGCTCAGTGGGAAGCCTGCTTCTCCCTCTGCCTGCCGTTCCCCTGCTTGTGCTCTCTCTCTCTCTCTCTCTGACAAATAAATAAATAAAATCTTGGGGCACCTGAGTGGCTCAGTCATTAAGCATCTGTCTTTGGCTCAGGTCATAATCCCAGGGTCTTGGGATCGAGCCCCACATCGGGCTCCCTGCTCAGCGGGAGACCTGTTTCTCCCTCTCTCACTCCCCCTGCTTGTGTTCCCTCTCTTGCTGTGTCTCTCTCTGTCAAATAAATAAAATCTTAATAAATAAATAAATAAATAAATAAAATCTTAAAAAGAAAAAAAAAAGGATGTTTTAGAAAGAGCTCTCTGCCCAGTGAGGAGAGGGATGGGCAGATGTATTAGAGGAAGGCTTCTGGGAGCTGGGTGAGGTTTGCAAGAAGAGCTTATGGGTCAGCACCTGTGACAGCCAGCTGGGGCAGGCATCCGTTTGTCCTCAGCTGAGTTCATTGACGTAACTTGGGTGTAGCAAGCCCCCTGGAAGGGAAACCATGTCTTCGAGTTTTGCAGGGTCCTTTCCAGCATAGCAGGATGTCATTAACACAGTCCTCTCTCTGTCTCTCTTTAGGGCTACTCAGATCAAGACCTACTCCTGGGACAATGCACAGGTTATCCTGGTTGGGAACAAGTGTGATATGGAGGAAGAGAGGGTTGTTCCCGCTGAGAAGGGCCGGCTCCTTGCAGAGCATCTTGGTATGGGCACGACATATGTGCATGTGTACATGTTTACATGGGAGTGTGATATTAAGGGTGTGATGTGATTGTGAATTATGTGCATGTGTGCTCTGTGTGTATTGTTTTATATTTGTGCCATATGCATGTAAGCTTTGTGCTAGCGAATTTTAGGTAATTTGTTGTTGTTTCTTTTTTTATTTACGATGTGTATATTTTGTTACATTGAATTAATAAGTATAATTTAAACTTACAAACTTTTTTTCACCAGTTCCTTCCACAAAGGCTTTGAGGTGTCTTATAAAAATCATCATAGTGGGTTCCTATGTGTCTCAGTCGGTTAACCGGCTGCCTTTGGCTCAGGTCGTGATCCCAGGGTCCTGGGATTGAGTCCCGCATCGGGCTCCCTGCTCAGAGGAGAGAGCCTGCTTCTCCCTCTCTCTCTGCCTGCCGCTCTGCCTACTTGGGCTCTCTCTCTAGCTCTCTGCCAAATAAATAAATAAATATTTTAAAGATTTTATTTATTTGACACAGAGAGAGAGAACACAAGCAGGGGGAGTAGGAGAAGGAGAAGCAGGCTCCCCGCTGAACAGGGAGCCCGACATGGGGCTCGATCCCAGGACTCTGAGATCAGGACCTGAGCCTAAGGCAGACACTTAACTGACTGAGCCACCCAGGCACCCCCAAATAAATAAAGTCTTTAAAAAAAAACATCATAGTACACCAATAAAAAAATAAGAAAATTGGAGTAAAGGGAAAACAAAGGTAGAAGAAAATAAGAGGAAGCCGGAGTGAGATAAGTGGGTATGTTTTAAGTTCCCAGGCATGTGTAAGAGTTGGACCAAAATATTGGCTTTGAGCTTCCTTACCAGCCATGCAAGGCAAGAAACATACACAGTCTTGAGATGGTCCTTAAAATAAAAAACCCATTATTCAGAGAAGCATTTCTCTTGTGCAACTGTAGAGCAGACTCTATATGCTGGATGAGACAATGTCCTTAATATCAAATGTCCTTACAGCAACCACAACGTTACGTCTTAGAATTTCCCTCAATGTAAACTGAGGTTTCTTTACCAAAATACAATTCACAACAAAAGTAATTGTATGAAGGGATGAAACAATGTAGTTTAAGTGATGCTCTGGCATTTTCCAAGGTTAAAGCACTTTTATCTCTGTGCTTCTCTGAGACCCGGTGCCTCAGATGTGTCTCAGTGGCTCCACAGCAGAACTCCGACCAATACTTGCTTCAAAGAGCAGCTCCTTGCCTTGCCTTGCCTTTCTTTTTTAAGATTTTATTTATTTACTTGACACAGAGAGACACAGCATGAGAGAGAGCACTGCAGGCAGAGGGAGAAGCAGGCTCCCCACTGAGCAGGGAGCCCGATATGGGGCTCGATCCCAGGACCCTGAGATCATGACCTGAGCTGAAGGCAGACACTTAACCAACTGAGCCACCCAGGCTTCCCTCTTTTGTTTTGTTTTGTTTCCTTTTCTTTTCCTTTCTTTTCTATATTGGGGTTCAATGTGGGATCACCTCGGACAAAACTTCCCCAGAAGAAAGGATATATTGCTTAACTTTTAGCCAGTTTCCCTAAATATGTCTCATAACCTAGGTGTTGTAAATATTGAGGAGTAGGGAGTTTAAAGTTATTTTCTCTGATGGTCTCTGAAGTATAGATATTTGGGCTTGTAGGCGGGCAAACTGTAAAATATACAAATGTGAGTTGTGTGTGGTGTATATTTGTATTATGCGTATTATGAGTACATGTGTGGGAGAGTGTCTTATACTTCTTTCTTCCCTCCCTTATTCCCCAGGGTGGCCTGGAATAGAAATTAGCAAACTGTAGGTGTTTAATAAAGAGGGAGGTTGGGTTATCTTGGATCTTGCTGTTATTTCCCCATCAGGGAAAAAAAAAAGTACCTCTACCCGTCCCCCTGGTTCAAAGAACAGTGAGCATGTGGTGAAGCATACATTTGGGTGACCTTAGGTATCACTTTATGCCTTCAACCTGCTGTCCCCAGGGAGACTCCCAGCACTTTCCCTGGAGTGGCTACACCCCATCTGTTTAGAGTGCTCTCTTCTACTCCCCACCCCATTACCCTCAACCAGCCGGTAAACCTCCACTCACTTTTCAAAACAGCTCACACTATGAAACCTCTCCTGGCCCCCAGAGCTCTTTTCTTCATGCCCTCACCTCACACACAGCAGACACAGTCCCAGTCACACTTGGGTGCACTTGTTTACTTGTCCATCTCCCCTCAAGGTCCATGAGGACAGGAAATGAGTCTAGTTTATTTTTGTGCCAACAGTGCCTACTTATATGGCCTGGCACTGAGTAGACACTGCAAAAATATGTTTTGATTAAATTTTATTTATGTTAAGTATTTGGCTACTTCATTTTATTTCAGTTCAGTTAAGACTTCCTGAGTGCCTACTCTATGCCAGGTACTGAGCTGTGAAATAGGATCACACGCCCCTGTCTGAAGGACAGAAACAGTGATACCCTGAGTGATCAGTGTGATAGAGGGATGCACTGGGGCTTGGGGGGAGGGGCAGAGGAGGCACCTAACTCAGTGGGGATCAGAGAACATGATGCCCAGGCTGAGTCTTGAAGACAAAAATAGGAGCAGCCAAGTGAGGAGGAGAAGCAAGGACATTTCAGGGGAATAACACTGGCAAAGGCAAGGAACAGCATGTGTGTTCAGGGAACTATAAATTTGTGTGAGTTGAGAGTAGCATTTCCCAAAAGAAAGACTTATGCCATTGGAAGTGTGTAAGATGATTTTATGTATGTATTGGAAAAAATATATATAATCAGCATGTCAAACCCTTAGAATTAAACAAGACTAAGTTTTAAAAGGTGTATTTGGAAAAGATATAATTGGCATGCCAAGCCCTTATGACTAAGATTTGTTAAAAGTGAGTCGGTTAAATATTTATTAGGTGTTTACCTTGTGCCAGGCACTATTCTAAGTGTTTTAAAGTATTACTCAGTTAATTTAATCTCCCTGGAGCCCTCTGACATACGTACTTCTCTTATCTCTAAATTGTGTTTTGGGCGCCTGGGTGGCTCAGTTGGTTAAGCGACTGCCTTCGGCTCAGGTCATGGTCCTGGAGTCCCAGGATCGAGTCCCACATCGGGCTCCCTGCTCGGCAGGGAGTTTGCTTCTCCCTCTGACCCTCTTCCTTCTCATGCTCTCTATCTCTCATTCTCTCTCTCTCAAATAAATAAATAAAATCTTTAAGAAAAAAAAATAAATAAATTGTGTGGTTTTTTTTTAGACAGATGAGAAAACTGAGGCACAGAGAAATTGAGTAACTTGCTAAAGTCACACAGGTAGTAACAGGTAGAGTCAGAATTTGAACCCAAGCAGTAGTCTGGCTCCATAGCCTGTGGTCCTAACTACTTAACCTCACTGTACAAGAAATACGGTAATAGGTGATATATATTGATCCAGGCATTATATGAGATGCTATGTATTAATTATTTCATTTAATTCTCACTATAACCCTTCCAAGTAGGTACTGTAGGGTATGTCTAATACTCTGAAAAACGAAGTTCAGAGGGGTTAAATAATTTGCTCAAGTTTATGCAGTTAAGAAGTAGTGGAGTCAGTTTAGATCTATCAAATTTATATAGGAACATAGATTAGTGCAGGGTTTAGGGAGGCACTTAAAGTAGGCCTCAATGAATAGGTCAGATTTTGGGCAGGTCATAGTAAACCATGTCTGTCCTACACAATTTCCTGGGCTTTCCTCTATTGCTTACCAATATTTCCCTATTTAGAGACCTATCTCTCTTGCTAGACCTCGAGAGCAACAAGGTTATGTCTAATTTGGTTCATTATCCTAAGCACCCAGCATAAGTTAGATATTCATTCATTCATACATTTATTCACTTATTCATTGAGCACTTACTCTGAGCGGGGTTCTGTCTTGGTACTCAGGATATACTAGTGAACGAAACAGCTATGATACTTATTCTTATGGAACTAATGGAAAAGGGACAATAAATAATTATACAAATATATAACTTAAAATGTTTTAAATAGACAAATTGAATGGTGTGTGAATTATATCTCAATAAACCTGTTAGAAATTGTGATAAGTTCTGCATGAGTTAGGACTCTTGTTATGACAAGTGATAAAATCCCAAATCAAACTAGCTTTAATTTTTTTAAAAATAGAATTTATTAGCTCATGTAGCTGGAAAGTCCACTAGACTCAGGATTCAATTGCACTTTCCATTTCTCAACTTTGCTTATCCCTTCAGCCTCCTTCCTTCCCCAGTCAAACTCTGCATGAGGAGTAAAATGGATGATGGAAGCTCCAGATTCATATCTTCCCAATTCCTGCAAAAAAAGGCCTTCTCTGTCCCAACCACCACATATCAATGTCAGGGAAGACTATGATTGGCCACCTGTGAGTCACGGGCCTGTCCCAGTGGATGAGGAGGCGGGTATGATAACCTATAGTGTCACCACAACTCTTTAAAATAGTGATTCCCTAAAGGAAGGAATGGTGGGCAGATAAAAGTAACATACGTTACAAGTGCTATGAAGAAAGTGAGAAAGAGAAACCTAATTTTAGACTGGAGAATCAAGATCTTCTGAGAAAGTAACACTGAAGCTGAGAACTAAAAGATGAGAAAGAGTTAGCCAGGCAAAGAGTGGGTGTGCGTGGGTGTGGGTGTGGGTGTGTGTTGGGGGGGGAGGCAGAGGGCCATATTCCAGATCAAGAATAGTCCTAATGTGGGGTAGAGCTTGAAGCACTCATGATACTGAAAGAAGCCCATGCTACAGGGACTAGACAGTCAAGGGGAGAGTAGTGAGAGATGAGAGTAGAGAGGTAGGCAGGGGCCAGTTCCTGAAGGATCCTGTGGACCATGTTAAGAATTTTGCAAGGATGTGATCAGATCTGGGAACAGTGAGGGAGGATGCTCAGCTTTCCTCATCCCCATATCAGTCCTATCCCTCTGCTATGCTGGCAATTAAGTAAGTTTCAGTGGTCTGCTGGCCAC